TCCCCCGGCGTCGGAGCCCCCTGAACCCGCCTTGCCCGCTTTGGGCCCGGACCTGGGCTGGGGCTGCGGGGGGGGGGGACCGCATTAGAGCGGAAAGCCGCCTGCCACTGCGACCTCGCCAGCTTGTTGTGGTGCTTGACCATGATGTCCGTCATGAAGTACTGGTCAGGCTCGTCCAGGAAGTAGGTGCGCGGCATACGCAACCACGGTCGCGGGCCCTCGCTGCTGGTGGGGGACGTGCACACGAACTTGATGCGGTCCCATGTCGGGCTTTCATCGCCCATGAGCTCCAGCATGCGTGCCCTCTTCATCCGCAGCTCCTCGCACCAGCGGCCACGCAGCTCCGCCGAGATGCCAAAGATGACGTTGGGGGGCCATGCATACTCTGCCTCGTCGTTGAGGCTGAGCAGGTGCTCGGCGGCCTTGATCTGCTGGTCGTAGTGCTCCTGGCCGTAGAAGCCCACGCCCACGACTCGCGCTTGGCATCCTGGAACCAGTGCTGGGGGGTGGACGCGTGCCTCGGGCGTGTCTCTAACTTGTAGTCCTTCGGGGGCACGTAACCATCCATGTCCGCCTCTGTCGTCCTCGGGAAGTTCGCGCAGCTGAGGCAGTAGTCCGGCAGGTGCAGGTGATCACGTCCCCCGTGCTGGAACGGCGCGAAGCCGTACGCGATACTATTGGTGATGTTGGTGGGGAACTTGATGGACCTGAAGAGTGGCCTGGAGTTCTGACCCACGGACCTCAACGCGTGGAAAGCATCCTTGCCGAGCAATCCTGGGCACAACGTGACCGTGTAGTAATCGCATCCCCTGGCCATGAATACTAGCTGCTCCTCTGCGCGCCCAATGCTGGCCAGCGTGCCCTTGGCTGCGCCGCCTGCCTCCTCTGCGTGCTTGTTGGCTCTCCCCAGCTCGCGCGCGAGGTTCTGCAGGCCGATGCCAACTTCGGACTCCGCCGTGGGCGCCGCCAGCACCTTCTCCTCCTGCGGCAGGGAGGACGCACCAGCGCGCCACTCCCTAGGGCGAGTCGCCATCTCCACGAAGGAGGGCGATGTGGGCGGTGAAGCCGCCCAGGGTGTAGTCGAGCTGGCTCCCCCGGATCCGTAGAACGCGCTCGGGTTGAAACCTGGCCGCGCCTCCGGCCGCGGGGGCGGCCTCTGCCCGAAGCCGAGAAACCCCAGCCCCGGTGGGGGCAGCGTCGAACCCGCCTGGCCTCCGGGAGGAGCCCGCGCCAAGGCTGCCGGCCTCGAGCCTCCTCCTGCCGCTTGGTGACCATCAGGTGGAGCGTGTGCTGGAGGAGGGAGTGGCGGCCCGTCCGCTGCTCCTGGGTGCGGGCTACCCTCACCACCTTCCAACTCTCGACTCCAAAGGTCGCGGCACCCTCGAAGGAGACTGACGCCAACCTCGCTCACTCCCCCCTGCAGCGTGTCCGCCGCCTCGATCAGCTCCGCCAGCAACTCATGCTTGCCCATCCCGCTCTCCGCCGAGATGACTCCTCTGGCTGCGCTGTCTGCGAGGCCGTCGGCGCGCTTGGCGAGGTAGGCTGCAACGAGGGTTAGCCTCGGGTCCTGGCACTTCTGCTCCTCGCCCTGTGCCTGGGCTCCGCGTAGCTTCGCGTCGAAATCGTCGTGGGTATCCCGACGAGTAGGAGTAGTGCTGCGACTCCGCGACCGAGCCCGCTTGGCCATGAGGTGCCGACTGCGGTCCTTGCTCAGGGCGATGGCTGATGCGGGGCTCAAGGAGTCGCCTCGGTAATTCGTGCCGCCCCCGTGGTCCGACAGCCGCAGCGCTGCGCCGGCACGCCAGCAAATCGCGGGCGGCTGCGCCTCCACGAACTCGTCGAGCAGCTCGGGCCTGGGGTGGGCGAAGGCCCCGTCCGAGACGGAGAAGGTCAGCCCCAAGCCCATCGCCTCCACGTCCGTACGTAGGTCGTCGCTCTTGCCGTTCTTCGCCGGGCCGATGAAGCGGGCGGGGAAGCTGCAGCATGCGTCCCACTCCGATCCCTACGGCGCCAGAGGGTCACGAACGTGGATGAGCCAGACCGCGTCCGCCTCGGCCTTGGCTGGGCTGCCCTTGCGGCTGGCGGCCGCCGCCGCGCGACGAGCCGCGCGCCCCTCACTCCTCCTCTCTGGCCTCGCGCCTCCTGGGCGCTGGTCGCCGTCCTCGCCATCTCGATGGGGAGTCGCGGACCGGCTCCGCCAGCCCACCGCGCGATCAGCCGCGTGAGCTGTGCACAGCGGGAAGCCGTCCTTCTCGATCACATGGGCGCGGTGACACTGTGAGCGCGCGCACTTCCGCCGAGCTGCCTGGCTCTCGTAGGCACCCGCGTGATGCACGCACGCGCGGAAAGTCCAAGTGCCGGCCTCCCCCTGCAGGTCGCGAGTGTCCGAGATAGCAGCATCCTCCACCAGGAGGAAGACTGGACTCTGCCTGGCAGTGTCCCTGCAGCACTGAGCGCTCAAGACCTGCGTGCTGCCCTCGGCAAGGTAGGCCACTTGGTCGGCCTGGCAGACGTCAACGCTGGGCTCCGACTCTGTCTCCGAGTTGGGGTCCATCTCCTCCGCCTTGCTGGTGGGGTGCCCCGGCTTGGGGTGTCTCATCCTCTTGCGGGCACAGCACCTGAGTAGACGCCCCATGGCCTTCCCTGCGCCTCGACCCGCCCAGGCACAGCAAAGCCTCCCGCCTGCGCGGGCCCGGCCTGCGGGGGAGAGCTTGGCCAGGTCCGCCACATTGATCGGGAAGCTGTGGGGCACGACGCACGACGAGCAAATATGCACCATCGCCTTGTCCCCAGGGGGGAGCGTACACGGAGTAGTGGCGCACAGGTGGACCATCCCGATACCGTCGTCGTCACGAGTAGCCTCCAGGTCCGCCTTCAGGTGCCGATGCGAACTCTCTTTCACGTCCCGGAACTTGTAGACATTCCCGTGGCGAGTGAGCCGGCCGCCCTTAAGTGGACCCTGCTCGAGTCTAGCCACGGAGCCTCCCGAACGGACGATGAGGTCGTTGGGCATCATCTTCTCTGCCCCTCCTCCTCGGCCTCGGACCTCGGTCTTGATGTAGTCATCGCCAATCTCGAGGGCCTCGGCACTGCCATACCAGGTGAGCGCTGCGGCTGTGTTGCCGTCCGGCGCCAGCTTCACGTCGTGCCCCGATTTGCTGCCCTGCGCAAAGCCCCTCATCGTGGAGAACAGCAGGGTCAAGTATCTCCATGCCGTGCCCACGAACCAGAGCACAACGCCCACGGTGGACCCCAGCACGGTGCCGACCACGACCACCACCATGGCTATGGCAGCCCACTGCAGCTTGGCCCAGTAGGCGCCGAGCATGTAGCGGCCCATGGAATCCACAAGACCCATGATGAAGGCGATGAGCTGGTGGAGGAGGGCGCCCAAAGCGTAGCCCGTCCTCTCTCCCAGCCACCTCAGCGCCGCCTCGACTCCCGCGCTGGCTCTCTCCCAGGAGAAGAGTGGCAGCATCGGCTCAGCGTCGTGTGGATGAGCATCCTGAGGCGGCGGTGCCTTGTCGTCCGCGGTGGCGTTGACGACGCCACCAGACCCCGGCGGGGGCGGGGGAGGGCTCTCCTCTGCGGCGCGCACCTCCTCAGCCTGGCCTCCCCGCCTGACCTCATCCCGAGTCGGAGCCCGCCTCCCGGGCGTCTCCGTCTCCTCCTCCGCCAAGGAGCTCCTCGAAGGGGGCCCCGGCCTCGCCTCGTCGACCCCTGCGACGTTGGCGTCGCCACCCGACCCCGGCGGGGGCGGGGGAGGGCTCTCCTCCGCAGCTCGTGCCTCCTCGGCCTGGCTCTCCTGCTTGACCTCGTCCTGTGTCGGAGCCGGCCTCCTGGGCGTCTCCGTCTCCTCCTTCGCCGAAGAGCCTCCAGCGGGGGGCTCAGGCTTCGCCTCCGCTGGGGGGACGTCAGCGTAGTAGTAGCCGTAGTAGCGGTAGTACTCCTGGTCCTTCCTGCTACTATTGGCTGAGCGCTCGTCTGGGCCGGCCATGGCTGGTGGCGGGTCCGTGACCAAGGGCTCGCTCGGAGCAGGGAGCGCTGCCGATGGACGTGGCCTGACCGGCGCCTCCACCGCTAGCAGCTCGTCGCTGTCCGCAGTACTGCAGCTGGCTCCACGCATCTCGTCCGGAGAAGCCTGCTGCTCGCCTCCTTCGTCATCGGGTCCAGCGCGCTCATGACCTCCCACCTCGGGGCCCGTCACTGTAGCCGACGCGTGGACCGCCGCGTACCAGTTGATGCCGAAGGACACGTCAAGCCACGTGGCCAATGCGCCCATGGCCAAGGCCAACGTACACTCAAGCCCATGGACAGGCCTCATCCTCGAGCGATCCCTCGAGGGCGTCTACGCGTCCGCTGCGGACCGCGGGGCTCCCCTCCGGAGCCCCCGTCCGCACTGGAGGGGGGACCTGGCCCAGCCACTACCCAGCACTCCTCGGAGTGCGCGTGCTATGGCCCCGCCCGCCCACCCCAAAATGCAAGCGGCTCCTCAGAGCCTTGAGAAACACGGCAGCGGGAGAGGACAGGCAGAGGAGAGGCTACGAGGCGGGAGGAAACCCACTGTTCTCACGAACGATCACCCGACAAGATCGGCGGATCTCATGGCATGTATTGCTAATCGTGGGTTGCATCACGTAGATTCAACCACATCTATATATATATATACATATATATACACATACATACACATATGTCTACATGTATGTATTACAAAACATCGATTGCATCACATATAATGCACAACGTATGTTGCACAGCATTGGTAGTACCATATATACCGCACAACATTACAAGTGCACAACATAGACTACCAGAAGCACACTGCTTGGGGCCACGCTGGCTGACATGGCTTGCGCTGTCAGATCATTCTCTGGTTCTGCAACAAAAACAGTGGTAGGCCTTTACAAATGCCTTGACGGTCGGTCCCTGCTCAGCAGCAGCATCCTCCGATTGTGGTCAGCGGGCGGCGACGACGACGACGACGACGACCTGCTCAG